TCTCTGCCACCAGAGCTGTCTCCTAGACAGACTGTGCTCCTGCCTGATTCTTCAGAGGGTCCCAACTGTCCACAGGACACCAACTAAGAGACCTTCAGCAGGGTCCCCCTGGCCCTACAACCTCTACAGCGCCTTGCCATCCCCACTCCCTGCTCATATCCATCTAAAGACACACGTGCCCGCTCCCTCAGTCTCCTCTGGCTAATTGCCATGCATCCTTCCCAGCTCAGCCAGGAAGCCCTCCTCTGCAGCACCTCCTGATGCAGCCCCGCGGGTGAAGGGCCCAGCGCTCCGAGAGCGACGCCACAGCGGGCACACGCCACAGTGGGCACACGCCACAGTGGGCACACCGGTGTGCACTGATACTCGTCTTCCGCCCCCACCACTCTACAGGAGTCTCCTGTCGGCGTGCTGGTCGTCTTTGTCATCTTTGCATCCCCAGCACCCTGTCCAGTACCTGGTATGAGTAGGTGCTCAATAAATGTTTACTGAATAAACACAGAAGGGTACCTAAACTTGGTAACTTAAAAACAGCACAAATAATGTTGGTTATAGGACCTAGGAGTTGAGTCTATAGTCTATAATCCAACTTTTCTGTATGTTTAGGACTTTTTATAATAAAACGTGAGAGTGAAAAAAATAATATAAATAATTATGCCAGAAACTGTCCAAAGTCTTTAAAACATGCAAAGCAACAGGAAGTTAAATCACACAGCAGGACACTAGGAACAAGAAAAAGAAAGATCACCCCATCTCTCAGTGCTGCCCTTGCTATGGTTTCCTAAAGTTCTCCCTGCCGCTCCCGGCCTTTCTCCTGATTACCTGTCGTTTCCGCCCACCTTTTCCTCCTTGTCCTGTCCCCCCACCGCACACGCCCGTCCTCCCTGGTAAAGCCTGGGGCGGGAGGGGGGTGGGCTGTGAGTACCTGAGGGGTCATCAGCGGTGGGGCCCACATTGATCTGGACCGTTTCACTCGGGGATGTTGGATCATCTCCCAGCAGGCAGAGCGGTGGTGCCAAGGACTCTATCTTCACAACCAGCACCTCCCCTACACCGGGGGCCTGGGTGAAAGTTGGGGGGGAGCGGCAGAAAGAAGGAAACAAAAAAGGGGAAGTGTTGAGAGTAAGAGCAGAACAAAGGCTTTACAGCTCACGAACACCTATGCTCTGACACTTGGGTTGAATGGCTCAGCAGCTCCCTAAGCTGCCGCTGGCCCGGCTCTCCTGGGAGGGTGACGGCATCTCACCGTTTCAAATACTTAGAGGGGAACCTGGGCAGGAAGTTCCGGAAGTCCCCGCCGGCACGCTGCCACGCACCTCTATGCATTAAAAGGTTCCCCTTTCCCTGGCCAGTGTGGCTCAGTGGATAGAGCGTGGGCCTGCGGATTTAAGGGTCCCAGTTCGATTCCGGGCAAGGGCACGTGCCTGGGTTGCAGGCTTGATCCCCAGTAGGGGGCGTGCAGGAGGCAGCGATCAGTGATTCTCTCTCATCACTGATGTTTCTATCTCCCTCTCCCTCCCTCCCTGGAATCAATATATATATATATTACAGCAAGTGAGAATGTGAAGATTGACAGGGAGGGAGAGAAGGCCCCACCCCAATCACGTCCCCCTCAGCACCTAGGGCGCCGGGCCGGGGGGAGTCCTCGCCGGCCCTGTGGGGGTTCTCACCCGGGGGGAGGGCTCCGTGGAAAGGCCCGACGACTCGGAGCTGAGAGAGGAGGAGGAGCAGGGAGAGGACGGCTCAGACTTCACCTGAAGATCTGGAGGAAGAGGGGGTAGGAAATGACCAGGGGGCGGAGCCCGAGAAGAGTCCACAAACTGTCCACGGACGCGTGGGCGAGGGCCCCGCGCTGGGCAAGGCGGGAGGAACACGGGCGGGGTGTGGGGTGTGAGGACCCGGGGAAGAGGAGGCCGCCGAGGGTGGAGGAGCCACATGGTCTCCTACCTGGAAAGAGAGGCAGGGGGTCCCACGGAGGCTCGGGGGGGCTGACATCCATCCCCACGTCCAGCATGCCGCTGCCGAACTGAAGGGGGGGCATGGGGGGGTTGTGAGAAACGGCTGGGGCCGAGCCCGGGCTCCGGGGCCGCCGCCACCCACCGGGGGCGGGTGC